CTCCTCTATCGAAACTAATGAGGAAAATCGGCCCCATTTTTTAACTCATACCGACGGGGCTCAAATTTAGCCATGTAAACCCGGTAAAACGCCTTCTTGATCGTCCGTTTTGCGCATTTCATACATCATTGTCATACTAATAAAAGTGTAAAAAATTGCCCGAAAATCGCGACAGCGTTACAATCGGGTATTCGAAAATTTAGATCTCATAGAAACAGTAATCAAATCTGCGTACACAATTGTAACCTAAGATTTCAACGCTCTGGCTTATCAGATAGCCACATTATGAACCTGTGCCAAAAAAATTTGGCGCTCCCGTTCGCGATTACCACTTATCTGCGAAGGATGGATTTCAGTGCTTTAACACATAATTGGATGGGGAACTTAAGGTTTCAGCGCTCTAGCTTATCAGATAGCCGAGTTATGGAACTGTGTCAAAAAAAATTTGGCGTTCCCGTACGCGATTATTACACATATCCGGGGGGCAGATTTCACTGCATTAACACCTACTTGGACGAGGAACTACTTCAGTCTACTTCCCTCCACCCACTAATTCCTAACACTTCCATCATATTTTAAATAATTTCATATTACTTACCTTCTCACTTAGTAACCCCGTTTGCCCTCCTTTTCCCCCATTAATTTTCCCTATATAAACCCCTTCCTTGAGGGTTCTTAGCATCGGATCAGTGCGCGCCACTGTTCTGCCACGTCTTGCTATGACTGACGCCACTAACTGGCCGCCTCGATATGACTAGCACCCTTCTTCCACTGGATAGCTTGTGCGGCATTCCGGCTCGTTTTTATTGAAATGAGGCTTTGTTGAAGAATAAAGTGCTGGCACTTTTCACTGTCTTCTGCTGCTGCAGTTAAAGGCCACGCATGGATCTAACACAAGCAAACAGTATATAAGTGGGTGTTTGAGACTGCTACAACGCAAGTGAACAGTATAAAAACGCGTGTTTGAGGCTGCTACGTCCTAAATAAAATATGCAGTAAAAACACTGATGCAGTAAAAACACTCTCTCGTTGAGGGTCGAAGTTTAGACTCTGCTAGTGAAGAAAACTGGTAATTTCGCATGCCAGGAAGTCAAATCCATCATCGAAAGAGGGAGCCATCGACAATTTTGTTAGTGGCTAGCTGCTGCTGTTGGCATGTACTATCATATGAGCTAGGTTTATCTCCATCTTTCCCTGAAAAGCGAAAGGGTTTAATTTTGGATTCCAAAGAGAAATATAAAAATTTTACGTGAATGCGTGCCACGTCACGTCTGTTACGATAACAATCAAATGCCCGCTCAATACACCATTCGTTCTAAAAAAAAAACAGCAAATTATACTCATTAAGCTTCAAAATTTGGCCTTACTATCAAAAAAAGAAAAAATTATCAAGCCCCAATAAGTGTAATTAATACATTGAGAAAATTCTAATCTGTGAATTTTTTCCACTAAGTTATTAATGCCTGTGGAGAAAAGCTAAATCCACCAAAAAAAAGCATCTGCAAAATCCATATATCACAAATCCACATTGAATGACATCTCAAAACAGTCATATTTTCAAGATTTTAAAAATTTTATGGTATCGTAAACTACCAATATTAGATTCTTTACAATGAAGGATTCCGGAATTACTCAACAAAACGATCAATTTTATTGATCCAGCAAATTTCTCGAAAGCATATCTGACAACAAAAAAGTTACCGGAGCCCATGGAAGCGATCGTGAATTCCCAATTGTCAGCACTTTCTCTTCCACCTTTTCCTGTGGCGGCGGTTTCAGTCTTTCCCTTCAAAAATTCACTGTTGAAAAATTAATGGTCGACCAAAAAAAACTCGCTGGTTTTACAGGCATGAAAAACGAAAAAAAAGCGGGGAGAGCCGGGTTTCTAATGAGCTAAATAACAGAAGAATTCCATTTTTCCACTCAGAAAAACAGAGCGAACGGTGGCGAAGGCGCATATTTCATAAATTCACATTATTTTATTCATATTATAGCGATAAATTTCACTAATTTACGGTTAATTCAAGCTTTAGATTTCACTAAAAAAAGAAATTTCTTCCTATTCACTGCGATTTGGAAGGTAAAAAATTACTCACCAAACTGTTTTGATGGTTTGAAACTCCGAATCCCAATCGTAGTCCTCACGGCAACACTGTTCGTATTCGTTTTGGAACGGCACATCGAAACGGTCATTTTCAGCAATAGCCGAAAGACGTGGCCGGAACATATATTTGCTGCGCACTTCTTCCTCTTGTTTTTCCTCATCTTCTTCAAAGCGAGGCAACACCCGAAGTGAATAGTTTGATTTGTATCGATAATGCGGTAAAATGGCGCTTGCACGGCGACAAAGCAAAATACCTAAGAAAAAATTTTACAGTGTTAATTTTAATTTCTTTTCTTAAAATTTAAGATTTACAATTCTTTTAATTCTATAAACAAGATTTTATAGTGATTTTTCATAGTAAAATTCCATTATTTAATTTTACTGATTAAAAAACAATACCAGTGATGGTTCATTTAAACAGCAATAATCACAAAAATAACTTTTTTTAACCCTATGAGAAAAATTTAATAATGATTTTTATCGCAAGATTTACTTTTCTGATTTTATGAGCTAAAAAACGATACCAATAATGGTTCATTTAAAACGCAATAAGCACAAAATTTACATTTTTTTCGACTCTTTGAGAAAAATTTTATAGTGATTTTTTATCGTAAAACTTATTTTTTTAATTTTATAGGTTAAAAAACAATACCAGTAATGGTTCATTTAAACAACAACAATCATAACAGCACTAAAAGAACACAGTAGAGCGGAGCAAGCAAATAACAATTGGCAAATCGCCAAAAAAAATTT